TATCCTCCAATAAATGACTACACTTTTTTTTTTTTTTTTAACAAAAAATAAGCACACTTCAAGACTCTTAGTCATTCTCATTACAATTAAGAGAAACTGAAGTACATGAGAAGGGAAAATGCTTGATTAAGAATAATTTAAAGTTATTTAAAAGTAGCACATCCCTACTCACTTATTCTGACAGAATACACCAAGCAGAAATCTAAAGGCTTCCAGAACATTAAAAAGGGTAACCTGCCCCCACAGCTCTATATACTTAGGGTGCCTGTAGTTTCGGTTGCCCTCTGATATATGACTTATTGGGTTATGGAAATCCAGCCAATTATGAATGATTTAATAACTATAATTAAGCCAGTAATTAAGCTAACCACAGTCTGTGAACCCAATCTTTTTTCATTCGGCCTTCATTTGGTTCGATCACAGCTTGTTTTCTATTATGTTAAGATCACAAGGAAAGTAGAAATGGAAGTCGAAGACATAGAAGCCACTATTAACTCTTTTGGCTATGTTAAACTATATGAACGTTTTCACTGGACTAAATACATAATACATGTTGTAATAAATTGATTAAAAGACTTATAATTCAAACATTTAAAGAGTTTATTGGGTAACAGAATATCTAACAGAGTATCACATTATTTAATTCCAGTAGTAATGCTTATGTTTACTCTTTACAAGTATTGCTAGTTTTATCAGTAGAACACACCAATTAATACAACTGTACACAGCAAATTTATGACTGAAATGAGATTTAAACTCAAACTTTTTATCACTATGCCATACCAATTCCCAATTATTTAAGACTCTGAGAGCACTTTGACTATGTAGCTAAAATATGAACTAATGTAAAATGGAGCACAAAATGATTGAATACGTTATGTACAGTTATGTGCGCTCCAAGATCAGTGCAAATTACACCTCTGCCCTGCAAGCTGCATTGGTTGCCAGTATGCTTCCAGGTTCAATTCAAGTTACTGGTTATGACCTATAAAGCCCTATATGGCATGGGGCCAGGTGATTTGAGGGACCACCTCTCCCCAGTTATATTTATTTATCCCATCAGGTCCAGCAGAGGCATGTTATGGGACCTGTCTACTAAGGAGTTTCATCTGATGGGACCTAGGAGGAGAGCCTTTTCTGCTGTGGTACCTGCCTGCTGGAACATCATTCCCCCTAAGGTTAGGTTGGCCCCAACCTTATCGGCCTTTCGGAAGACCCTGAAGATATGGCTTTGCCATCAGGCCTGAGGAATCCCATGGAAACATGGAGCCTGTGAGACAACTGTATTGTTGTAAGCTACTGGCTGGCACTCTCCTGCATTTTATGTTTAATTGTTTTAACTTGTTTTTAATGTTTTTGGTGTCATTGTTTTTAGCTATTTATTTATATGGGTTTTGTTTTTTATTATTTTAATTCTGTGAGCCGCCCAGAGTCAGGTATGTGAGATAAATTGAACAAATAAAATAAATAAAATATAGGAAATTGCTTTTACCTTTATGGGATACCACAGAGGAACAGTTTAGCAAAGGTATTCATGAAACAAATACAGAGCAAATGAATTGGATCTACAAACTGAACTTTCAACTAGTAATATTCCTCATTGATCCAAAGCTGTTTACTGTTTATGCACTTCCCATTAAACAAAAAACTGCAATATACTGATACCTCGCAGCTTCGTTAATAAGGTCACTGGGTTTTTCTTCTCTCAGGTGCTGGAAAAAAGATTCAAAAACACCATTGTAAATATAAAGAGGAACATTTTGTTTTGTAAATGGAATCACCGACATGTACAGAATACACATTATGCAGCAAATACCTGGAATATCATTAGCTGTTTTTCATGTTTCAGATTCAAACATCAGATAAACAAAAGATTAAAGAGAAAAACTTGCAACCAGGTATATGTACATAAAATAGTTTATATCAGATCTGGTTCTATATATGTCAGTTGCCCAAGAGGTATTATACTAGTTCAAATGAACTGAGACTGACGTTATCAATTCTCTCTATAATTATAACATTAGTAGAAATGTTAATTTGTGTTTTAATAACTTTGATTTCTTAACTTTACAGCAAAAATTATGAGGGTGCTTTTTGAAAGGAAGATGAAATCCATCCATTTTGGCTGCTCACGCAAAACTTAATAAAGGTACCTATATTTAATTGTTTTATCTACTTGAAATCAATTCTGTTAGACTGTCATCCTGCATTCACTTAGTTTTCAATGGTCCTGGATTAAAACTGTGAAACTAGTAGTTACGCATATGCACTTCAGTAACAGAGACAATTATCCCATGTTAATCACTGCCACAGTATTTCAACACTTAATTTGAATATTAGTTTTATCCTGCTTTTCCTCCAAGAGCTCCTGGTGACTTATATGGGAATCTCCCTTCATTTTATTTAGAGTAGAAACCTTGCGAGATAGGTTGCGCTGAAGTGTAGGTGGCTCCATGGCTAAGCATAGTCTTGAACTTGACTCTCTCTAGTCTTATGTACAGCACCTTAACCACTATACCGCACTGGCAATACAGATGCTTCCAGTTTGACATATTCTTTCAAGGAAAAAAAGAAGAAACATGCAATGAAAAGGTCTTTTTCATAGAATGATTCTAGACTTAATCTTGGTCAAAAGGCTGAGAAGTGATTTAATTAAGTGCAGCTGCAAATATTTTAAAACAGTACTGCATCTTTGAAAAATTATTTTCAAAATTGTTTTCTGATTAAATATATTGACAAGGATGTACAATAACATGAGAACTCCCTTTTGACCTTTTCTCTTTTCACTGATTCTTTTCATTTGCCTTTAGATTAAAACATGAATATTTCAGATTCCTAGGTGACAATCCCATTAGAGTGATAGTCCATGATATCAATTACCATTTCAGTTTCAATTTGGCTTGCTAGCCACAGGGTACAATTTCTCTGCTTCACATGAACTAGGCTGGATCCATGAAGCATGACACTTCTAAATTGCTACCTATTATCCCAGTGTCATCACTTGTATTGCCTCCAGACTTTTTTCAATCACATGCCAAGGCAGAGGTCAGGCTTTGAAACCACAAGAATTGGACAAGTTCGCAAATTCCCTACACAAAGCAAAAGTTATTTATTTGACATATGATTGAGAAAATGTAAAAGCTGCTATCTTACTGTCAGCATGTCAAGCTTTGTACTGATTGAATAATGCAAGGGGTTGTATTGAATTCCAAAGTTATCAAACATTATACATTATACATTTATTACTTCAAAAACTTTTTGCAAGTTTTTAAAAATCTGCCAACTGTAAAAATACTTCCATATATATAACAATTAACCTAAGAATATATGTATGGTAACATTTGGCAGAACGTTCGTTCATGTTGCATGAAACTTAAAACTCACTGTGGTACTGGCAAATAATGATATAAACATAAATAAGTATAAATTGTAGGCTTGTTCGGATTTGGGCAAATTTTCTGCAGGGCTAAATTTACAATAAACATATGTTTGTATACAATGATGTAAGAATTAATGATGATTAAAACAGGGAAAAGAATAGGAAAGGGATTAAAAGGCCTTAAATATGATATAAAAATAAAGTCTCTTTCAGCTTGAGCTTGACACTTGCTAACTTCATGTGAATTTCTTGGCAGCTGTACAGAAGTAGTTTGTCACTGCCTTCTTGATAGATTATTTTTGACCTCCCAGTCTAGTCTACAGCCTTGGTATGCTGGGAAAATCCTTAGTGAAGTTAATTTAATGTGAATAGGGGTTTAAAAAAATTTTTTTATCCCACCTTTATTATTTTTATAAATAACTCAAGGTGGTGAGCATACCTAATACACCCTCCTCCTCCTATTTTCCCCACAACCACCACCCTGTGAGGTGAGTTGGGCTGAGAGAGAATGACTGGCCCAAAGTCACCCAGGCAGCTTTCATGCCTAAGGTGGGACTTGGACTCACAGTCTCCTGCTTTCTAGACTGGTGCCTTAATCCCCAGACCAAACTGTCTCTAAACATCGACATGATCTCATGGTGCCAGTTGATTGTCTACATCAAAGTTAAATGTATCCAAAAGCAAACACCCAATAACAATTATTGGGTCACCCCTCACCAGCAGAGTTTATAGCTGTATGTAGGTACCATTTAACACAAAACTTGTTTTACCTATGGTCTGTTAAAGGCAAAGTCAATCTTGGGGAAGAGTCAAGCAATCAAGGCGTGTTTGGCAAATTCTCCATTTCTTCTGCCGTTACCCAGATGGTATTCCAAACACCTGAGGGAGAATAACTGGCCCAAAGTCACTCAGCTGGCTTCTGTGCCTAAGGCAGGAATAGAACTTGGGTTTCCCTACTCTTAGTCCAGCACCTTAACCATCACATCACATTGTCTCTCTCTTCTATTATCCAGGTGGTCTTCCAAATTCCCAGCAGTCCTAAATCTTTTTGCTTTATATTTGTGGGATTCTGTTTTTTGATTATTGTCTGGATTGCTTTGTTATTGGTTGGTTTTATCCTTGTGTTTGTGTGAGATGCTGTCTGAGTGAGAGGGGTGCTTCCTTTTCAGCTGTGGGCTTTATGGTTGTGGTTGCAATGCACATAAAAAAAACAGGCAGAACTTCGATTGCACTGACATGGGTGAAATCTTGACTTTTTTGACCACATCCTGCAGACACCCCTGGCTGGCATGTACAGTGAGGACGCCCACAGCAGATCCAAAGCACTTTTTCTCTATTCAGATCCAAATACCAGATACTTCTAGAAAGGGGATTGTCAGAGAGAATAAAACAGAACTGTGGAAGAAAAGGCCCAGAAATGCAGTTCTAGCCTGAGCTTTCATGCTTTTTTAAAGCTTCTCTGGTTAGTCCTCTGAACTGCAAGGCAAAAGCACAAAAGAAACTAGGCTTCCTGGCTCAGACAAGCCATGTTTAGGCAAGACAGGATGTGTAAACCAACTGTCTCTAATTTCAAGCTGTGATTTGTTAAGGAAAAGCCATGAAAAAACTCCAGGACAAAGAAGACATGGCATTTACATACAAAGTAAGAGATATACAAAGTCAAGCATCCTAATATACTAGGTAAACAAAAGCCACTTTGTTTACTTTGTAATTGACTGTAGTCATATTACCTGTAGCCCATGCTTTGCATCAACAACAGATATAATACCTACAAAAAGAAAGGAAGAATACCAATTTGAATTTGAAGAATACCAATAGAAGACATAGATGCTTTGCATTTTTACATGGAATTAGGAAAAAAAAATTACTTAAGGGTACAGTAACCCTTCAAAACATCTCCTTAGATGCTGACATTGATTAATTAATTGCCACAGGCATTTTCAGGAATATTAAAAATTATTTTAATTTGGACTTCTGGAAAGCAAAAAAGCCCTGCCTTTCCCTCTTCCTATAAGTCTCAAAACTCCAAAGAGATCTGGAGCATTTTTTCAGAAAGGAATGAAAGAGGAAAAGGCAATAAGATTGATTGATTGATTAAATTTGTATGCCGCCCATCTCCCCCAGTGGATGACTCTGGGCAGATGGAGCTTTCCAGTCAACCAGTCTTCCTCCCTTCCAATCAAAGAGCAAAAAAAAAAAAAAAGATGTTATTGCAAGTAAGGAGAAGAGGAAAAAGGACAAAAAAAGGAAGGGCTGTGTATATTTCCTTAATGAATGGATGGAGTAGTTAGGTGGATGTCTAAATGGGGTAAATTGGGCTGTTCCACAGGAAGAGAGCCAATCCTTGTTTAGAGGAGGTAATCATGAGACAGAGAGGGAAAATCTGAATCAAATCATATGTTGGCAATGTGGTCTGGGTGTATTTTCGTTGTGTGAAAGAAAGAAAGCAATCTGGGGGAGGAATTTTCTTATTTGTAGAATTAAGAATATTTTCGCAAATGTATTTTCTTAGCAAACAAAACTTAGTTCAAAGGAGCAACATCTACATTTAAGATTCATCAACGTAATCTCTTCTGATGTTTGTGACAGTACAATATTTTGTCATTTCTATTGAACTAAATTGTTTTGAACTCAATTCCATGTTTCATTTAATCTCAGGTTCTCTCCTTTTCTCTCTCTACGCACACACACACAAATATTAATTTTCTTACCATCAAGATAAATGTCACTTCCTAATTCAGCATCAATCCAAAACATGGAGGCCACAGAACCTAGCAAAGAAAACATGAAGAATATACAAAGATAGCTACAAATGTTTCCATTTTTTATATTCCAAAAAGGGGAAAAAAATAAAAGAGCAAGAATAATATAATAAAAGCTACATTTAGTTTTAATCATATTTCTATGAGAATGAGTACTTCCAAAACATATGCAGCATTTATTTGATTTGCACTGTAGGTATCAAAAACCTTCTAGCAGTAGCATAAGTGCTGTATTACTGCGCTTAAAATATCATTTACAGATAATTTCTTGACCAACCTACAGTATTCCATTTTTAAAATATGTATTAATAAATATTAATTATATACTACAAAGCTCATTCAAAAATTAATTTATTATAGGTCACCTTATTTTCTTCTCCTTTACTATATATTTAAAATTCATGATCAATTTAATTTACAGACATTTTCCTATATCAACAGAAATCACAAAGGGATGTACTTCCAATCAAATATTTAACTCCATTATAGATTAGTAGGGTTTTAAAGATTAAGGATTAAACAACAGAATTCCAAAGATGAATTCTATTTCCTACAATAGAATTCATACAATCGTTTTATGTTTGTTTAGAATTAACATTTCTATGCAGTTATACCTTATTTTTATCAGTATGAAACAAACAAATATTTGGAATTATTCTGAAGCAATACAGTTATAATGCTCAAAGCACGCTAGAATCTTTGGTGATTAACAGCTATTTATATAGATTTTATCTTTTTAAATAAAGAACAATCCAGAAAAACTATGAAATGAACTTGTGCAATATTTATTTTTTCTTTGAACAAATCTATAAACACATTACCATTATAGAGCATTGAAAACAGTGTACCATTTACAGAGCAATGAAAACCATGATGCTGTTGAAAAATGATAGTTTTTGAAAAATAAGAAATCAATTTATTTTGATGTGAACTGATTCAATATACCCAAATGCTACAACATGAAGGATGCAAGAATTTGACAACCATCAAATTATTGTCAAAAGCTCACAAATCTAGCTGATGTCAAGGCTGTCTTAAAAAATGAAGCACACATGCAAAGATGATGGTATTGAAGCTGTTCCAATATCTGAAGCTGTCCACCTGAATTGATAAGATGTGGCCTCCCAAGCGTCACTGGTGTCAAAACTGAAGCACCTGTCAACAGTTTACGGTAATCACTCAGGCAAGATATAGCAAAGACCTTAACATCTAATAGTTTCCAGGTATCTATTGATTGTTTTCTTCAAATGCCTAACAGTTTTCAACTTAACTGAAATAGGATTTGTTTACAAGAAGAGCTGAATCAATGTCCTATCTTTTTTCCTTCAATGCCTTTAAGTCAGTGTTGACTCCTGGCAACTGCCTGGACTGGTCCCTGTAATTTTCTTGGCAAGATTTTTGGTAGTGGTTTGCCATTGCCTCCTTCCTAGGGCTGAGAGAGAGGAACTGGCCCAAGGTCACCCAATTGGCTTTGTGCCTAAAGCAGGACTAGAACTCACAGTCTCCTGGTTCCTAGCCTTATGCCTTAACCCAGTGTTTCTCAACCCTGGCAACTTTAAGATCCATGGACTTCAACTCCCAGAATTCCCCAGACAGCCATGTCTTAACCTCTACACCAAACTGGCTTTCCTATCATTTATTTTATCATTACAAGTATTTAGCTCTGAACTGGAGAATGTCAATCTCCTTAACATGAAAAAATTGGAACGCCAAAATAAATTTCCCTTTACTTCCAAGCTACATTTAAGAGTTAATTAAAAAAGGCCCCGGGGTACTTCAGCCAGCTTTCATTCATTAGAAATCTTTTTTTTTTCAGTGAAAACTCACAGCAAAGAAAATTTTTATCACAGAATTGGAAGGGGCCACTTAGACTATCAAGATAACCTCCTGCTCCTTGCAGGATTCCAATTTAAAGCATCTCAGACAGATGGCTGTCTAACCTCTGCTTGACCACATCCAGTGATGGGGATCCCACTACCTCGCTGGGCAATGAGCTCCCCTGTTGAACTGCTCTTGTTATTAGGAAGTTCTTTTTCAACTGGAATCTGCCTTCCTGTAATTTAAATCCATTATTTTATGTCCCGCAGTCTGGGACAAGAGAGGGTTCAGGTCCGCAAAATTTAAAGCTTCCAAGGTGGAGAAACACTGATATAGGCAACAGTAGGACCAGAAGACCAGAAAATGCTACAAAGTACGACCACTTTCATATTCCTATCTTATGCTACTATTATCTGTGGAAGTAATTTAGTTACTTGTGGAATACGATGATGAATCATACGGTGATTTGTGCGGCTTCTTGGTTTATTCAAATTCTTATAACAAGTATCTACTGTTTACCAAAATATCTATATTCATTGAAAGAAATTAATTATTATTTCCGTATGTCTTTAACACAACATAAACATTTTAGAGAATGAATGGGGGAATGAGTTGGAAAATTCAGAGAAGGCAGAGACTTGAAAAGAGTGACATTATAAAGTTGCATGAAGAAATGGAGCCAGGAGAAAAGACGTAAAAGAAAACTGACAGCAAGTATAATGACTGCCAGGACAGACAATGGGAACACTGAGGGCTGTAGGATAATGGCTGGTTGTCCGTAAGCTGCAGAATTTGCTGAAAGGTACAAAAGAATTATAATAGAAGTAGTAACAAAATAAATCCTAAGATGACCAACCTCTACATCTGAGGCCATGGGTGCATTGTAAAATCTCTCACTTTTGAAAAAATCCACAATTTTCTGAACAATGGCCTCCTCTATTTTATAGGTGATCGTGTATGGGTATCAACAGAAAAAAATTACTTATCTTTTTAATAAAACTGAGTTGTGGTGAGGTTCAATGTCTGTCTGATGCCTGAGTTGGTCAATATCCCTACCAATCCTGAAGTTCAATGCTGAAATTCTCAGGAAGTCAAGATAATTAAACAGAATTGTGCAGCCCTATTTTGTGCACAGCAACGCTGCTGACCTCCTAACAAAACTAACAGATGAAGATAGGGGATGCCTCTTGCAGCTCCCATTAGCTGTATACAAATGGTAAGATATGATAGAAGTTGGCATTATCAATATCTGAAGGGCCAAAGATTCCCCATTCTGGCTGTAATGTACTTTTTAAAATTATTTTTAGCTACAACAGACTAATTTGGCTATCCCTTTGAAGTTATGTTGAGTAAGACTTGATCCTGCGAGATGAAACAGGGAAAGTGGGCTTTAATCAGGAGTAACTCGTATACCATTTATCATATACTGTCAGCACTTTCAAAATTAGCTAAACAGATTATGCTGCTTATCAATAGTATTATATGGGTGAAGGCAGATATACCACACCGACTTCTTCTGGGGCCTGCCCTACTCATTAGATGCTGTCATGATGGAAACAATGAAGATTAGTTGACTCTGTCTATCTTTGTTCTGTGACTATTCTAATTTTGGCCTACATCCTAGCTAGATTAAATAGCACATATTATAAAGCAAGAGCACACTGGGGCTCCCCTACAATTTACCTTTAATTTTACCATACATAATGCATTTTCCAGAAAAAACAGTTTCATATTCATTCCCATTACTCAGTATACCTGGATCTGCCAATCCTGTTGTTTCCAGCAAAATATAATCAAACTTCCCTTTCTTCTGCATCAAATTTTCAATTGCTTTCAAACCATTGTCCCTAGATTAAAAAAATTAAAGAAACAAATATTATAGTTTGAGACCATCAATATTAGAAGAAATAGGCAATTTTACCAATTAAAAAATCCTTACTTTACTGAGCAGCAAAGACAGCCATTTCTGAGCTCCAGCCATTCTTCATAGAGTTCTCCACCTTGACTTATAGCCAAGGATTTTTCCAATGCACTACCTGAAAAAACAAGAAAAACTATAATAAAAATAGTACTTTTACTGAAAAAAATTAAACGGTGAAAGAATAATACATTTCAGGATCTGGATGAGAGAGGTACCTTGAATTCTATTACAGTCATTACTCTATTATGCTAAGTTTGTTGAGAAAGTTATGCTAAAGCAGCCAGAAAATTAGGCCACACCCTAATTTTCCTGCAACATCAAACTTAGCGTAATTTAGTAAATGGAACTAATTTCCTCAGTTGCTACACCTCATGTATCCCAATGACCTTGTTCAAGAACATAAATACTTAGTCCTTAGATTACAGCAAGAGTGCAAAACATTTGACGGTTCAAGGCTCCAATTTACCTTTCTGGAGGACAAAGGAAGCTATCTGGTTTTGTTTAAGAGCCACCTGAAGGAGTTTGGCTGAAGCTTTTCAGCCTGTGTTTTTGAAGTTTGAAGGAAAGGGATGGGAACAGGAATCCTCCTGACAAAAAGTTCTCACATTCCTGCCCCTAAACTCCCCAAAGTATAACAAATGAGTCATTTCCCAGTTTTTCTGCTTGTTGGTTTGGGAGGTATATAAAAGTGGAGATACAAATAGGAGACCTCAAAATCACCCCCTCATCACTCTTATAACAATCCAAACCTGCAAAAACCAGGGCAAAATTGCACATCCAAAATTCAGCCATTTTGCCACCAAATTCTGGCTGCATGATTTTGGGTTGCTGGAAGAATATAATGGGATGAAACTGTTGGATTAAAAATTCAGCACAGAATGTAATACTACATCTCTGGTCATATGAACAGCTATGGTACTTCAGAATAGGAAATTATCATTCTGGGAATATTTATGCTGCAAATCATTTATATGTGCCCTCTTTTTCTGCCTTACCCATCTAAGGCAGCTTATCATTTCTATCCCTTCTTGCCTCCAAAGAGTTGAAGAAGAGTTTTTTGGTTCCTTGCATCCAACAAGAAGTTTTCAATTTCCAAAGTGATTATATATGTTATACCTAAAACTGCTTTTGGAAATGCAACACAGATCTGTTCTCTTGAAATAAGGAAGAATCTCATTTAGTCTAGGAAGATGACTAGTTGAATACTATTTATTCTGTCTACAGAGATGAAAATAAATGTTAGTCTAGTTCCCCAACCTATGAATAGGCTAATATGTTTCTAATTCAATAATTATGCTTTGTATTACTTAGAAGGAAAAATTTGCATCACCACTCTTAGAATGTAAATGAATATAAATTGAAGAAAATCTTTTACATTTATGAAATTATACATTTAGGCTTCAACGTGAAACTTTTTTTTCTTTTCCACATACTTGCATTTTTACATACCTTCACCAAATTCATTTAAAATAACTGCTATTCTCTTGCTATGTTGTTCAGTCAAAATATAATTAAGAAGAGTAGTTTTTCCTGCACCTAAAAAAAAAGCAGAACAAATTTCACTATACTAAAAAGGAACAATGATGTCCTAGTTCTTTACAGAGGTATAAAGAATTTTGAGATGCTATTCCAATATGGATTATTTACTTTCTAATCATATAGGTTTTTAAGCCAGCAATATCTCCTACACTTGAAAAAGCAGAGTTTGATCATGTATTTGGAAGTATATCTGGAGATCATAATCATAGTCCATAAACATTTTTATTTTTATTACATTAAGCCAAATGCAACTGTATTTGTAACTGACACTTTCAACATTTTATTGATTTCCCTCCTTTTAACCTACTTGATAAGCCAACTACAATAGAAGATGCACAACCCCCCCCCTCAAACACCCAATACCTTCAGAAACATTAAAAATATTGAAATAAATGAATATCAATACGCTTTATGCATTTTTAAACATCTTTTATTTAATACAATTTCAAAATGCAATTTTAGGTTTATACATTTCCCTCAGATACTTATGGTCTGAGATGAAGCCATCATCATCAGACTCCATTCTACTTCAACTATTATTTGGAAGCATCAGGCTATAGTACACAAAGAAAAGGGAATTGGGCCCACAAACAGCTCTGTTGAGAAACCACCTCCTAACTCCGTTATGAATACCAATAGTGGCTGAGTTTACAGAAACCCCCAAGCCCAGATTCTCAAAATCTGCAGTGTCACACTCACCTAACAACCATATAAAGTAAAACCTTTTCATTGGAATTAACTAAAAATCTATTTTAAAACCATATTTTAATGAGAAGAGTGTACTTGCTTAGTTTTGCAATTCCTGGAAATCTGGTTCCTCTTTTTGAGACAGCCACTCATTTCTCATTTATTCTGCACTGATATTTGCATTTTCTAGTCAAAACTATAGAAAAAATTAGTTTGCTGCTGGCTTGCCCAGACAGAGTGAGGGTGGGTCTTATTAGCATTCTTTGCTTTGCCTGTGCAAGCCTGCCAAAATATGCAAACCGCTCCGGAGTTTGCTTGTGAGCTCCTAGGTGGTTGCACACACCACCTAGAAAACCCCTGCATTAAACCATAAAACAATTTGGTCTTTAATTAGTG